CCATCAAAGGATGATCCATACCCTTCCCTGAGAGGACATGTGCAGTGTGCCTGGAGAGCCCCTTCCACGGCAATTTTCATCGTGAAACAGCCTTGACAAGTGTAGAGAGAACAACCAATTCTTCAGGTGGTGCTGTGTGCCAGGGAGATGGAGCCCCGGGTCGGGAAGCCTGAGGTGGGGCGCGGCCCTGCCCTTGGTGGCTGGGGGACTCTGCTTCCCCAAGCTCCAGTTTCATACGTGCTGGCAGGGATGCAGAGGCCGTGTGAGTAATGATGAAATGCACTAATGCATGTGGAAGTGCCAAACCAACTGTAAAGCGCTTTGCGGATTGTAGAGGGTCACGTGAAGCTGAGACCCTGCTCTTCCATCCAATGGCGGGCCTCTCATTTTTGCCTCTAGCTTTGGAGGAGATCAGTGGATAGGATATCACCCCCAGGCCCTGCTTGAGCTGGGAGCTGGGGTCTCCGTGTGGCTCCCTTCCAGGCAGCAGTGAGCCCCTAAATTTCCTGCAGGCAGGGCTGCCCCACCCTTCTGTGTCGCTTGGCCTTAGCAGGAGACTTGTTGAACTGGCACACTCATCTGTGGCCTTTTCATTGAATAATAACTCAATTAAAAGTGTGTTTTTATTGAATGTCCCTGATACCTTTATTGGTATTATTAGAGTAACTGGCATAATGAGGAGGAACAATTATTTAAATGCTCATTAAAAACACCACCTAACAGCAGAGGGAGAGAAGCATATCTTGCGGGCGTCCAGTTGAGTGTCAGTTACCAAGCGTCACAATAAAAAATGATGTTTCCTCAATGTTTGCAAGTTTCTAGTTCCCTGGAACCTCTAATGCATTAGGCAGGCTGCATTAAAATTCCTCCAGGGTTTTATTACTGCCAGAGTTACACAGAAAAAGGCGTCCCTGGAACATCCACTGCCAGCTATGAGGTTGGATAGTAAAAAACAAAACACACAAAGCCCAACCATTAGGTCTGCCTAGCAACTGTGCTTTATAAGGTGTGTCCACACGCAGGGGCTCATCTGGTCCCCTGGCCCTCTTCAGAGGCAGGTATGTTACTCCTATTCTACTGACGAGGACATCGAGGCTCAGAGCGGCCAAGTGGCTCGATTTGCTTCACTGTGCTGGGCACGTCATGGAGCATGAACCTGCGCCACTATCCAGGGCTCTTGTAACCCAGAGTTCGCAGGGAGGGGTTTGAATTTGAGGGAAACATAAGGGGCTCCCTTTAGAGCTGGGAGAGCAAAGAAGATCCCGAGTGGTTGTCTGCCAATGGATAGTAAAATGTCTGAGGAAGGAAGAGGACAGGAAGTAAGCTTAGCAAAGACGGGCCCTGGGCTCTGAGTTGCCAAGCCTGATTTAGCAGTTGAAGTGCAGCTGACATTTCTAGGTCTGTAGGCCAGGTTAGATGTTGCTGGCTAAGTGGCTTCAAAATAATTTGGGCATCGACCTATCAGTTGGAACCTCAGCAGCCACAGTAGCATCGTGGTGGGAAATGGACCCTGTCTAGGCAGGTAGGTCTGAGCTCAAGGAAGGAAACCTGTGGTCCCGGGAAGGGGAGGGGTCAGCCCGAAGTCAGCCCTGGTGACCTCTCACCAAGGGACTTCCGCTGCCTTTAAAAAGGAGCCCTCCCCGACTGCGTGTACTGTGAGTTTAAAGTATTTAGTGCGTTTTTGAATAGAAAAATGTCTGAGTGGCTCTTCAAAGACTTCGTGACATTGTTCTATTGTTAAAAGTGAGCAGCCCCAGTGCTCAAGGCTACTTCTAGGTGAGAGATAACCATGAAGTGGTAATATGGGAATTAACATTTTATTAAAAAAATAAAAGGCCAGGGGATAGTGGAAGGAAAGTTGTCTAGGGAGAGCCTTTGAGGGCTGGAGATTTAAAATAATCGGAAGCTGTCAGATCCTGGGAAAGCCATCACCTGCAGTGAATCTTGCCATCGTGTGGAGGAAAGCCTGCTGACGAAAGGGTTCAGGGATGCGGAAAAGAAAGATGTCACCTAGGCATGGAGTGTCCCTGAAATCCGATTTGATGGACACACCCAGTTATTGCCCACCTGATGGGGAAGTAGGACAGGTAACTTCCTCCCCAGGCTGCTCCAAGGTAGTTTTTAAGTGTCTTTTCTTCCTTTTTTTTTTTTTTTAAACAAGAGGTAGAAACATCTGAGCACTTTAGAACATGTAGCTAAGCGCTTCCCAGTATCTGCCATTTTTAGTTAAAAAAAGAAAGTTTTAATCGGCCCTTTCGGCTGCAGAGCACCTTCGTTCCCAGCCTGCCGAGTTCTGTATTTGCTTCTGATCTCTGCATTCCCCACCGGTAAAACGTACTAGAAAATGTGTGGACATCAGAACAGGAAACAGGAAGTGCACTGAGGTACCCAAGGGCATGAAGATGATGAGAAGAGAGAAAGGGGGAAGGGAAGGGAGGTGGCCTCACTTAAAAACATGAAGCGCCAGAGCAGCTGTGTGCCATAAATCGATTAATTAGAGTTTCTGCAGCCAGGGTGAAGGGCCCAGAAACGCTCTTTAATTTGAAGATCTATGACCTTGTGGGATGTGGCACTTCATTTGTGTTATTAGCTCCTGTGTCAGAAAGGGACTTTTTATTTATCTTCTTCTTATTTATTACTTATTTATTCTGCTGTGTTCCAGAAAAGGATTTGAGGGGAACTTTACGTGTCATGGCTTCTGGCCAGCTCTCCTATGAGGCTGTGTGAAGTTCCGCATGTCCATTAACTAATAAGCCAGGACAGGAGATGGTGCCCCAAGAAGGGCTGCTTCTACGCCCGTGGGGTGGCCAGTAGGAAGGGAAGGCTGGGATTTTGGGGGGGCCTCAGAGCTGGCACTGTAAAACTGTGGCGGCCCAGGCCCTTGAGAAGGCCTCAGTGCCAGCTTCCAGGTGGGGAAATTCTCAGGGACTCCTGTGGGGGGAACTGAATTACCCAGACATACTGAAATTACCCAGTCACCTTGGAGAAAGAAAATCACCTCCCAAGTTCTCTTTGAGCTGATTTTGAAAGCAGAGTGAAGCTGAACTTGAGAATTCTGTTTTTTCTTGCTGTGCTCACCCCTACCCACTGTTCTCACCACCAAACATGCAGACACAAAGCAGGAGATGAGCGGGGAATGAGAACACCAAACTCGTGCGGCTTGCCTTGGTTTCTGGCACTGGGTGCTCGGGCCCACCTGGTTCTGTGGTCGGGGAGGACCTCCCCCTCCCCCCGGATGGCCTGGGGCCTTCCTGTGACATCGCACATGCTGCCTGTCTCTGGGAGGTCCTGGGCCCTCAGAAGCTGGAAGTTGTCAAACCTCAGTAACCTGTATTGAATTCAGGGCATTTGGTTGTAACCTGAGTTACCCGTTTTTTAGGATCAAGTGTGAGGCCCCCCCACCCCCAAAACATAATTTGTAGGTGGAAAACAAAAATAAATCTGTGCATGGGATTTCAGGAGTCCCTAAGTCTTTTGGGGAGAGGCTGAGATGGAGGACGTCTTTTCTCTGCCGCTCACTGCGCTCACATCACCTGGTACTGGAAGTGGAAATTCATTTGCACGTTTGGCTTCACCAGGGAGTTTGTGGTTACTGTCCTTCATCAGCAGTCAAATCTTCCAGGTACATGAAAGACTGAAAAAACAAAAAGGGGCTCTTCAAGATTGGGGCTGTGACGTCTCATTCCCTTTTCCTTCCCCAGCTAGATGGAATCTGATGGTAGAAGGCAGGGCCTGTCCACACCTGTCCCTTTACGCGGAGCATTAGCTGAGGCTCAGACTGGAAAGCAGCGAGCTTCGCCTGCAGGTGGAGGACGGCAGCCACCAGACGGGTTCTGGATGGAACATTCGGCCTCCATTTTGTGACTGCCTCAGTGGTGGACAAAGACTGTGACAGTCTGGCTCGGTGCCACCAGTGTCCACTAAGATTTGCTCCCGATGTCACCGGAGCTGGTTTGTTAGTAACAAATCCACACTTGTCACCACTCATCCTGACGGCTCTGTTGGGTTTGACATTCTTTCATTCAGTCAGCATTCTGGCCTAGGACTTCATGTAGGACAGTGGTCCTCCGTGCCTCTGCCTCCCATGTCTGTGGAGACTGGATTCTGCACCATGGCTGGTTAGGGGGGTTCCTGTGTGAGGCCATGGGGGGCGGTGGGGAAGGCAGCTGTCATACAGTAGTGATCTTCCTTCAGTTCCTACCTACCCATCTTTAAATAGGACAGCCCTTCCCCCCAAGGATGCTGGTGTATGAGACCCTAGAATTTTCTATAGCTAAAGTCCCAAATGATGCAGAGGTACCAACTGTTTAAGAATGTTTGCCAGGCAGCAGTTTGGCTGTGTCTTTTAGGACTTCCTGGGGTCAGATCCTGCCCTCGTCAGTGGTTCTCAAGGGGGGTGGGATGGGTGGTTTTGTTCCCCAGGGGAATTTGGCAATGCCTCGAGAGGTCTTTGATCCTGGTGACTGGGGGAGGGAGTGGTGGGAGGCCTAGGATGCCGCTAAATGTCCAACAGCTGCACAGGATGGTTCCCCGCACTCCCCCCAGCCCCCGCCACACACAGCAAAGCATGAGCCTGGTCTAAATGTCAAAAGTGCCTTGGGTGAGAAACCCTCGTCTATATGGTTGTAGGTAGCCTATTATTGGAAGCCGGCTTTCTCACAAACACCATCTCCTGTGGCTTCTTGAGATACCGGGCCAAAGAACACCTTTTATTTAGGGGAGCAAACCGAGGCCTACAGAGCTGGAGTGCTGGCTGAGGTCGTGTGGCTGATCTGGGCTTTTGCCCGGGCCGCCTGCCCTCTGAGCTGGCTTCTTCGGGCCCCCAGACAGGCAGGGGGTGCGCCTCGTCGCCGGCCTGGGCCTGTTCGGAAGTGGCCCCGCAGCTGCCTTTCAAGAGCCGGGAGTCCCGCCGCGCTTGCCCCCCGCGTCCGTGGCCTGGCGGTGCGTGCCCCCTCCGCTTCTCACGCTCTCTCTGCCTTTCTGTCCGTGTGTCTCCCCAGGTAAAGACGAGCCTTCCAGCTACATTTGCACAACATGCAAGCAGCCCTTCAACAGCGCGTGGTTCCTGCTGCAGCACGCGCAGAACACGCACGGCTTCCGCATCTACCTGGAGCCGGGGCCGGCCAGCAGCTCGCTCACGCCGCGGCTCACCATTCCGCCGCCGCTCGGGCCCGAGGCCGTGGCCCAGTCCCCGCTCATGAATTTTCTGGGCGACAGCAACCCCTTCAACCTGCTGCGCATGACGGGCCCTATCCTGCGGGACCACCCGGGCTTCGGCGAGGGTCGCCTGCCCGGCACGCCGCCTCTCTTCAGCCCGCCGCCGCGCCACCACCTGGACCCGCACCGCCTCAGTGCCGAGGAGATGGGGCTCGTCGCCCAGCACCCCAGTGCCTTTGACCGAGTCATGCGCCTGAACCCTATGGCCATCGACTCGCCCGCCATGGACTTCTCGAGGCGGCTCCGCGAGCTGGCGGGCAACAGCTCCACGCCGCCGCCCGTGTCGCCAGGCCGCGGTAACCCTATGCACCGGCTCCTGAACCCCTTCCAGCCCAGCCCCAAGTCCCCGTTCCTGAGCACGCCGCCGCTGCCGCCCATGCCCCCCGGCGGCACGCCGCCGCCCCAGCCGCCCGCCAAGAGCAAGTCCTGCGAGTTCTGCGGCAAGACCTTCAAGTTCCAGAGCAATCTCATCGTGCACCGGCGCAGCCACACGGGCGAGAAGCCCTACAAGTGCCAGCTGTGCGACCACGCGTGCTCGCAGGCGAGCAAGCTCAAGCGCCACATGAAGACGCACATGCACAAGGCCGGCTCGCTGGCCGGCCGCTCCGACGACGGGCTCTCGGCCGCCAGCTCCCCGGAGCCCGGCACCAGCGAGCTGGCCGGCGACGGCCTCAAGGCGGCCGACGGCGACTTCCGCCACCACGAGAGCGACCCGTCGCTGGGCCACGAGCCCGACGAGGACGACGAGGAGGAAGAGGAGGAGGAGGAGGAGCTGCTGCTGGAGAACGAGAGCCGGCCCGAGTCGAGCTTCAGCATGGACTCGGAGCTGGGCCGCAACCGCGAGAACGGCGGCGGCGGCGGCGGGGTGGCCGGGGTCCCGGGCGCGGGGGGCGGCGTGGGCGGCGCGGCCAAGGCGCTGGCCGACGAGAAGGCGCTGGTGCTGGGCAAGGTCATGGAGAACGTGGGCCTGGGCGCGCTGCCCCCGTACGGCGAGCTGCTGGCCGACAAGCAGAAGCGCGGCGCCTTCCTGAAGCGCGCGGCGGGCGGCGACGCCGGCGACGACGACGACGACGCGGGCGGCTGCGGCGACGCGGGCCCGGGCGGCGCGGTCAACGGGCGCGGCGGCGGCGGCTTCGCCCCGGGCGCCGAGCCCTTCCCGGGGCTCTTCCCGCGCAAGCCGGCGCCGCTGCCCAGCCCCGGGCTCAACAGCGCCGCCAAGCGCATCAAGGTGGAGAAGGACCTGGAGCTGCCGCCCGCCGCGCTCATCCCGTCGGAGAACGTGTACTCGCAGTGGCTCGTGGGCTACGCGGCGTCGCGGCACTTCATGAAGGACCCCTTCCTGGGCTTCACGGACGCGCGCCAGTCGCCCTTCGCCACGTCGTCCGAGCACTCGTCGGAGAACGGCAGCCTGCGCTTCTCCACGCCGCCCGGGGACCTGCTGGACGGCGGGCTGTCGGGCCGCAGCGGCACGGCCAGCGGGGGCAGCACGCCGCACCTGGGCGGCCCGGGCCCCGGGCGGCCGAGCTCCAAGGAGGGCCGGCGCAGCGACACGTGCGAGTACTGCGGGAAGGTGTTCAAGAACTGCAGCAATCTGACGGTGCACCGGCGGAGCCACACCGGCGAGCGGCCTTACAAGTGCGAGCTGTGCAACTACGCGTGCGCGCAGAGCAGCAAGCTCACGCGCCACATGAAGACGCACGGGCAGATCGGCAAGGAGGTGTACCGCTGCGACATCTGCCAGATGCCCTTCAGCGTCTACAGCACCCTGGAGAAACACATGAAAAAGTGGCACGGCGAGCACTTGCTGACTAACGACGTCAAAATCGAGCAGGCCGAGAGGAGCTGAGCGCGGCGGCCAGGGCGCCCGCACCTGTACAGTGGAACCGTTGCCAACCGAGAGAATGCTGACCTGACACTTGCCTCCGTGTCACCGCCACTTAGCACCCCGCGTGTCCCCGGGGGCCCCAGGGGAGGCGGCCCTCCAACCTAACCTGTGTCTGCGAAGTCCTATGGAAACCCGAGGGTTGATTAAGGCAGTAAAAGTTGTGAAGCCTTTTAACTGTGCAATAATTTCTGTATTTATTGGGTTTTGTAATTTTTTTGGCATGTGCAGGTAACTTTTTATTATTATTCTTTCTGTTTAAATTCCTTTAAAGAGATTTTGTTGGGTATCCATCCCTTCATTTTTTTTTTCCTTCCACCCAGTAGTAGCCTGAGCGATGACTCCCGAGCAATGTAGAAGGGAAGCTTATCTTTTAAATTATAATTTTTGGGGGGGGGGAGGGTGCTGCTTTTTTGAAATTTAAGCTAAGCATGTGTAATTTCTTGTGAAGAAGCCAACACTTAAATGACTTTTAAAGTTGTTTACTTTTTTATTCCTTCTTTTTTGCTTCTTATTTTTTGTCCTGAAATGAAAAGTGGCATGCTTTCTTTCTTTCTTTCTTTCTTTCTTTCTTTTTTTTTCATTGTGAGGGGGTGGATGTACAGCGGATAACAATCTTTAAAGTCATAGCACTTTGTTTCAGAATTGGAGTGGAGATGTAGCACTGATGATGTCCTGAGTAACAGAGGCCTTTTCTGTGTTGATTTAAACCTTTACATTATATGAGGAACACTTGCAGTGGTGGAGGCAGGGCCTCCCAAAACTCAGCACTGCCGGAGGAACAGGTGTTTTTGAGGGCTGTGGGGGAAATGGCCCAAGAGCATTCTAAAGATGAGTTCCCGGCAGGTACTACCCTTTTCTTGGAAGGTTGGTCCCCTGGGATGCCATCTTTGCTGTTTGCTGTAGATTAGGCTGAAAATGAAATGGGCTGAGGGTCCTTTTTTGGTTATAAGGTGGTGGCCTGCAGTGACACAGAAAAGACAAAACCTGCAGTGTTTTTTCAGGCTTCTTCTGGCTCGACAACTTCTCTCTCTCTCTCTCTCTCAATACTCCCACCATAAAAATCCCAAGGCATATGTTGCTACAAGTGATAATTGATCGTATCTCAAGCAGACAAGCTCCTTGATGGAAAACGGAGGGAAGTTAGTGTTGTCTTACTGAATGCACACTGATGACATTGGAGGGGCAGGGGAGAGAAAATCTTGCAAATTTCTGTTCCCTTTTACTGGAAAAGCAGGGGAAGGGTCCCATCCCAAGGTGCCCAGCGCTACTTCCCTTTTTTTTTTCCCCTACCCCATTAGGTTGGAAGGTACTAAACATTGGACTGTTAAGATTAGACATTTGAATTCTTTTGACCCGCACTTTAAAGCTTTTGTTTGCATTTAAATGAAATGGCTTCTAAACAAGAAATTGCAGCATATTCTTCTCTTTGGCCCAGAGGTGGGTTAAACTGTAAGGGACGGCTGAGATTGAGTGTCAGTGTTGCTAAGCGTGGCATTCACAATACTGGCACTATAAAGAACAAAATAAAATAATAATTTATTGGACAGTTTTTCTACTGCCATTTGATTTGATGTGAGTGCCTTGAAAACTCATCTTCCTATTTGAGTCTCTTGAGACAAATGCAAAACTTTTTTTTTTTGAAATGAAAAGACTTTTTAAAAAAGTAAAACAAGAAAAGTACATCCTTTAGACACAAACAAAGCCACATTTACTTTAAATAAATTTTTAAAAATCCTGGTTGAAGATAGAGGACATGAAAATGCCATAAGACCCAATCAAATGAAGAAATAAATCCAGCACAACCGTGGACATCCATTAGCTGAATTATCCTCAACCCATTTTGTTTTTGGGACAACGCTGCTTAGATTTGGAGTGGAGGTGATTTACTGCTGAATTTAAACTCAAGTGACATAAGTTACAAGTTGATATCGTTGAATGGAAAACAAAACAAAAACAATTCAGGAACAACGGCTAATTTTTTTCTAAAGTTAAATTTAGTGCACTCTGTCTTAAAAATACGTTTACAGTATTGGATACATACAAGGGTAAAAAAAATGTGTGTATGTGTGTTGGAGCGATCATTTTTTTCAAAGTTTGCTTAATAGGTTATAAAAAAATGCCACAGTGGCTGCGTGTATATTGTTTTCTTTTGGTGACGGGGTTTTAGTATATATTATATATATTAAAATTTCTTGATTACTGTAAAAGTGGACCAGTATTTGTAATAATTGAGGATGCCTGGGCATTTTACAAAACAAGAAGAAAAAAAAAACCCTTTTCTTTTCCTTGAAAATGTTGCAGTAAAATTTAAATGGTGGGTCTATAAATTTGTTCTTGTCACAGTAACTGTAAAGTCGGAGTTTTAGTAAATTTTTTTCTGCCTTGGGTGTTGAATTTTTATTTCAAAAAAATGTATAGAAACTTGTATTTGGGGATTAAAAGGGGATTGCTACACCATGTAGAAAAAGTATGTAGAAAAAAAGTGCTTAATATTGTTATTGCTTTGCAGAAAAAAAAAAATCACATTTCTGACCTGTACTTATTTTTCTCTTCCCACCTCCCTCTGGAATGGATATATTGGTTGGTTCATATGATGTAGGCACTTGCTGTATTTTTACTGGAGCTTGTAATTTTTTAACTGTAAGCTTGTCCTTTTAAAGGGATTTAATGTACCTTTTTGTTAGTGAATTTGGAAATAAAAAGAAAAAAAAAACAAAAACAAACAGGCTGCCATAATATATTTTTTTAATTTGGCAGGATAAAATATTGCAAAAAAAAATTTGTATGTTCAGTCCTATTGTACAGGAGAAAAAGGGTTGTTTGACAACCTTCGAGGAAAAGAAACAAGAGAAAGTAGTTAAATGCTTTGGTTCACAGATCCTTTTAGTTGTATATATTTTTGTCGGAATTGGCCTCTACAAAGGACTGTTGGAGCGGGGCTTCACTCTGAACGCCTCGGGCCTCGCACCCAGGCTCCCTGGTGTGGGCGCAGCAGACCGGATGAGAAATCCTTTCTTTGGGTTGAGTGGAAAAATCCGTTTTTGTAAAGATGTCGGGAACATTTCAGAGTCCGCTCTCCCCAAGGGGCCGTCTGTAAGATGTAGACGTAGAGGAGAGAGAGCAGAGCGCGTCTTGCTCCTGTTGTCGCCACTGTGGCCGTCCCCACCGCCATGTCTCCTGCCCTTAAGAGCAGAAAGAAATGCAAACCGAGCTTTTCTCAGTCCTTGCGAAAACATGCAACCAAAAAACGTAATGAAAGGAGCTGGCGTGTCAGCGAGGCCCAGGTGACGTGAGCCGCCGCTGAGACCAGCGCAAATCGGAGTTCAGGAAGGAGTCCCATCAACCAGGACCTTTCATTCCGCGGAGAGTGTTGGCCTGTTGTCTTTCTTACCTGCTCTGCTGCTTTTCTCTCCGAAACCCACATTCCGTCAGTTTCCGAATGCCTAGGGCCTGGGACGAATTCGGTGCCTTTCCATAGCTTCCTCCTTCTCTGTGTTTCTTCTCCATCCTCCAGCCTCTGTCAGCTCTTTATTTGTCCTTTGCAGTTTTAAGCCAAGTAGCTTTAAGATAGTAAAGTGGTGGTTTTTGGATGAGGGAATAATACATTAAAAAAAAAAAAACCTATATCAGGAAGCCATTTTTTATTTCAGGAATTAGAAGAAACCATTATTCCAGGTTATGAAAGTATAACCAAGCATCCTTTTGGGCAATTCTTTACCAAATGCAGAAATCTTTTTTGGGGGAACTTTTCTGTTTTATATGCTCTTTCCTCCTTGCCACCTACCTTTGCAAAGTGAAAGGAAAGGGGGAGGAGAGGGAGATAAGCTGAGATGTCAGTTACCTTGATCTGAAGACCTAGGGGTTGCCCCTTCCTTCCCATGCTCTGTTCAAGTACTTGGGGGTCTCCAAGGCGACCCCCGTGTAGTTAGTGACAGAAGCTAGCCAGCTCTCACCAGCTTTCGCAAAGTCACCAGATTGCCAGGACTAAGCCATCCCAAAGCACAAAGATTGTGTCTCTGTCGATTGCAGAGAAAAGAGCGTTTTGTCTCCGGTAAAAAAAAAAGCCACGGCCGGAGCAGATGACCCAGAGAGGGGCCCCCAAGCCTGGTGGCCCAGCCGACCTCAGGCCGGTTTCCACACTGCCACAACTTTGTTCAAAGTTGCCCCCAATTGGAACCTGCCACTTGCCCTTAGAGGGTCTTCTGTAGGGAGAGGAGAAGGCTGGAGTCCTTTAAGCAAAAATGTGAGAAGTAAGGAAATCAGCCTTTCATCCCGGTCCGAAGTGACAGTTAGTTGAAGGTTTTGTTGAACACAGGCAAACCCATGATTTTGGTGCTCTTTGTATCTCAGCCCTGCAAAGCAAAGTTACATTGATTTAAGTTGTTTGCATTTGTACTGGCAAGGCAAAATATTTTTATTACCTTTTCTATTACTTATTGTATGAGCTTTTGTTGTTTACTTGGAGGTTCTGTCTTTTACTACAAGTTGGAACTATTTATTATTGCTTGGTATTTGTGCTCTGTTTAAGAAACGGGCACTTTTTTTTTTTTATTATGGATAAAATGTTGAGATGACAGGAGGTCATTTCAATATGGCTTAGTAAAATATTTATTGTTCCTTTTATTCTCTGTACAAGATTTTGGGCCTTTTTTCCCTTAATGTCACAATGTTGAGTTCAGCATGTGTCTGCCATTTCATTTGTACGCTTGTTCAAAACCAAGTTTGTTCTGGTTTCAAGTTATAAAAATAAATTGGACATTTAACTTGATCTCCAAACCTTGTCCTTTTCTGTGTCTTTTCAGGGTGGGGGATAGACAGCTTATTTCCGAGGGTGAATCGAAGGCCTTTCTCCATTTTCCTCCTGATGCAAACCCCTGTGTTCATATCTGGGCAGACAGGAAATAACGGCGAGACCAGTCTTTCTCTTACTGACCCTCTGAAGCAGTGTGGTTGAGAACAGTGGATCTCAGCTGCAGTCGCCTGGCAGGTTTCTAAAATTCCAGTGCCCAAGCCCCACTCCAGAGCAGTTTCTATCTGAATCCCTGGAGGTGGGTTCTAGGCATTAGTACTTTTGAAAGTGGCCCAGGTGATTCTCATACACAACCAAATTTGAGAACAAGTGGTTTAGAAGGAAAAGTCCTTGTCTGGCAATGCCAAGCCTCAGGTCTCGTTTAGTTTGACTCAGCTGACATTTCCTGAATACATTTCCTGAGCCATTGGGTGAGACAGCCGGGGATCGGGAATGGCTGAGATGGAGGCCCCGCTGTGGACACCTACAGGGCAGGGCCCCTTGGGCTTCCCACCCGTGAGGTGAAGCCGATGGACTAGCTGGTGTCTCTGACCATGGGGAGGGTAACAAAGTCACACAGGAGGGCCACCTTTCTGCCTCATGTGCTGGCTGTCCACTGATTTGAGGACACTTACTTTAGGGTTGACATGGATGCAGAAGAGGAAACCTTCTGGGGGAGATGGGCTCCCGCGTGGCTTTACCCAGTGCTGGGCCCCGAGCCCCTGGCAAGGTGGGAAGGGACGAAGACAGCATTCCGTTGGGTTTCAGTCGCTGGGGCACAAGGTACCTTTGGTCTTTGCCTGAGTGAGTCCGAGCCCATCCTTGAGTGGAAAGGGATCAAAGACCCACTGGGCTCCTGACCACTGCTCCTCGGTTCCCTGCTCTCAAAGACACAAAGGGCGCTCCACTCAGGTCACTCTGAAGACTCACTGGGCACCAACCGTGAACCAGGCACCGCGCCAAGCAGCCAAGAATCTTCCCAAGGGGGCTTTGCAGTAAATGAAGACCCCGGGCCATGCTTGCTAGAGGTGCTCTGTGTGCAGAGATGGTAGGAGAAACAAGGGCAGCATGTTCCTCTGTGTCCTGTTTTCACCCCCAAGCAGGTCACCATTTTCCCAAGGCCACGTCTAAACACTGAAAGAAAAGCAAACACAGGGACGCGCTCATTTTGGGAAGACTCCCCACTGTAGGGCTGGGGATCGACTATCTAGACTCAATACCAAAAGCTGCTGGGAATGGGTGTGTCAACACTCGAGAAACCCTGTAATTTCCACTTACACTGGTCTGTCCCTCAGCCCTTCTAATGCCAAATTCAAGGATTATCAGAAGGGCAAAGGGAAGGCCCAATCCAGGTCCCACCATTGTCCCATCGGTGGCTCTGTGACCTCAGGTCAGTCCTTTCTCTTTTCTGGCCTCAGTTTCCCCACCCATAAAATGGAGAGGCAATGAGATCTAGAAGGACCCATCCTGCCTTCAAGTAGTAGGACCCTGATGTCGCGTGTGCAGAGTAACAAAATGTGGTGGGAATGTTAACGTCAGAAATGTTCCTTATTCAGATTATGTAAATCAGGGTGAAAATGTGTTCTTAGGAACAGAAAATCTTATGTTTTTGTTGTTTGTAAGTTGGAGTCTTCAGCCACTTTGCAAGTCAGAGGCTCTTCACATTTTCTGAGCAGCCCAGAGCACAGCTGGGGCATCCGGGCAGGCTGCTGAGCACCTCACTCCTGAGCTATAAGTTCAGCGATTAAAGACAGTAAACATCCCCTTCTGCTTGGGAGATAAAACTAAATGAATAGAACTTGAAAAAGAGTGTTAATGTGATGAAATATATAATGAAACTAGTGTAACTTTCAAGCCACAGAGGATGATAATTTTGGGTTTCTCATGTTCAGGTGAAGGCTTAGTCACTAATTGCCTGCACTATGTAACCTTCAAAACAATTTTTTAGGATTCTCATTACGGACCATCTAGGATGTGCTAAAGAAATCAAGTTGAGCTCAGAAGTCGATTTAATTCCCCAGGCAAAGACAGAGCTGGGTGTCAGGCTTGGGCGCAGAGGAGGTCTTGGGCCTGGTTTTTGCTTTCAAAGAGCTCCCTGTTCAATGACAGAAGCATATTAGGAAACAAAACTGCATGAGGGGTGACGTGGGCAATGACAAGGGCTCAGGAGGGAGGGGCAGATAATCAGCTGGGCAGGGAGAGGACTAGAGAGATTGTGCTGCTCCTTGAAAGGTAAATAAGGATTCGCTAGAAAGATGAGAACAGGGGAGGGAAAAATAGAATGTCTCATAGGGGTTATGATGTGAAAAGGTATGGATGTTGGAAAAGCCCATGAGAAAGCAAGGTCCTGTAGTTGGCCCGGACTCTTACAGTCATCTGGTACAACCCCTCTAACATAGGAATCCTTTCCCAAGCCTTAAAGTATAGCATCTACCCATCCATCTACCCATCCATTCACCTATCCACCCACCCACCCACCCATCCATCCATCCATCCATCCACCCAAAAGTTGTTCTCTTAATAAATACTTATCAAAGGCCTGTGCCGGGTCACAGACTCTGCTGGAGGGTCACAGACCAGTCAGACTCAGCCTTGCCATTCAAAGGCTTACCTTCTAGTGGGCAGAATGGGCATCCATCTATCTGTTCAGTTCCTTATTCCCTTACACCCTGGGGTTTCCACTGTGTGCCCCACACTCCTGGGCCCCAGAGATGTAGACCATGCCCCCAGGACTCCCAGTTAGCTGTGAGGGCAGTGACTGAACAGATAATCAAGGTTCTGGTTCTTGGATGGGAGCACACAGTCCAGCAGGAGGCTAGAGGAGACATGCATGTTCTTCACTACAGATTAGGAAACCCAGTCTTCTCCTGCTGTGCCTGCCACCATCCACACTGGCCCCCTTTACCATGGTTAATCTCTCACAGGCTGTGGTGAAAATTTACTTTTGTTTTGTGCCCTTTTATAATAATAATTATTTTTTTTAAAAAACAAGAAATGTCTGATCAAGGACACATCCCAGGATGTGAACCCAGGGGTCTTGTCTAGAGGAGTGGGATGGTCACTCTCCTGCCCAAATCCCAAGATGCTATAATGATGCTGGCATGTCACTCACAGAGCAGGCCATGTCAAGCCTTTGGCCTGAAATGCACAGCAGCCTGAAGTGTCCAAAGGGGAGGCTGGTCTTCCAGCAAACCAAGGAGCTGGGGTGTCGAGGTGGCACCTCCTTCCCTCTCCTTTCTTCCTAGTCCTTCTTCCCCATTTCCATCCACAAGATTGAACTAAACAGCTACTCCATGTCCTATGGTCCAGCATGGAAGCAGCTGTGCAGAACCAGAGAGGTTGTAAGTGAGAGAAAGAAATGGAGAGGTAAACTGCAGGTAAAAGCCCCAGACCCTCAGCCACCTTCGGTGCTCAGCGCCACCCAGCCCTTTCGTCTGTATTTGGAGGTATAATTGAGAGTTGAGATTTGTTAGCTACCTCATGTTTCAACCACCTTCCCCATTTCCTTTTGGAAGCTCTGGGGCAGTGCGTATGGAGGGCTGAATGCTATTCTGACCATTTGATCTGGTCATGCCCGTCTCAGAAACTGTACTAATCATACTAGCTAGTGGTTCCTAGAGAGAGGAAGAGCTGTATGCCTATAGATGGTCATCTCAACATTTCATTAAATATTTTATTATTTGCATCCTTCCTCATTCTACAAGGCCCTGAAGAGGCCAATAGGAAACACAATAAAATGTAAATAAGCTGTGAAA